CCTTCCTTCTAAATATTTGCATGCTATTTAATGGCGAAATGTGTCCTGTTCTCATAATTCAATTTACTAAACATCTTTTGTACCACGTATTATGCAAACAAACTTATTATTATTATTAATTTAAAAGTAATCGTAATTTAATATTAACAAAAAAGAAAACAACAATTATGCTATTATATAATAACTAGGTTTTACCTACGTGACTAAATTATAGTATTACATGTCTATAATAAAATATAAATTTAAGTATCGAAAATTGATTAATGTTTTTAAACTATTCAAAGGAACCAATTATATTTTTCAAATATTTACACTATAGAATATGCATATTCATACCAAGATGCAAACCTCAAAATACTTAATCGAGACGTAGACACAAAAAATAAAACTTTAGTTACTATTAATAAAGTTATGTACAGTTTTATGAATCGATTACTTAGTAGAGAGTAATCTCCCTAAATCCTCGCATCAACTGAAGGCATAAATAAGAGTATAATCTCACCTACACTCTATTAGTTACTCAATATTCTCAAAAACCATATCTGTTCGCCGTAAATATAACAAGGAGAAACTGAAGCAATACAATAACACATTCCCATCAAAATTGAGTTATCATTAGTTCGGTTATAGTCGGCTTAGATACTCCACGCGGCTCTCCGACAGACTCATCGACATAGTTTTATAGTATGAGACTCGGCGCCCGTATTACATCGCAAACAAGCACGATTAGATCGACTCCGAGAACTGCCCATAAATTAAACCCTAAAACAACCGCTCTGTTTAGTTTGGAAGCACCCATCCCAGTAATTATACAATAATTCATACTTTAATAAATACTAATAAATCGTTCCCTCACTCCGCTCCGATCGCAGCATTATCGGCCATTATTACACGATGTAATTACAGCCAATAAATTACCAAATAATACATCAATCAGATGTGTTATAATTTTCTTATTATTACTTTTTTTTCAACTTTTTATTGGACAACAGGCAATTTTATTAAAATTATAATGCAGAGGCCGGCTCCAAATTGGGGTAGCTGGAGGCTAAGCTCAGCTTTAATTATATATGTAATGTTTAATGATATATTCTTATAATAAGCTACCTGAAGCTCTTGGTGGGCATAAATCAAATATTTCATTAAAATTCGGAGAGCTTACAACCCTTCATTTTGGTAGTTATTAGGTTCGGTATACGATTGTTCGCAAAATCGTCTTAAGTATAGGTGATCGTCTAATTTTGTGTGGAAATAGCATTTTTGTATTGACGTTGATTAATGGGATCGATTTGATCCGTACGTTACGTATAGGTATTTGTGATTTAAAATTATCGGTCACTATTTTATAAAGTTACGTAACGAACATCGAACTTTTTAAGTTTTTATTGATATGTTTTGAATATAAATAATGAATGATTAAAAACGGAATACTTATTTAAGGATACAAAAGGAATGTTGCATATTGTAGTTGTAATATTGTTGTTGTTGTTGTAATATTAAATTTTAAAATATAATAAGAGTTTTTGCTGGAACATTTATATAAAAATATATATTTATATAAATGTTATAGGTTATCACTTTATTAGGCACTTGTTTTTTTTTAATTAGTCAAATTTCTTTTTCAAAACATTGCATGCGATCATTATACAAAAAGAACGGCTTATCGCTACATATATGTACCTATGTGAAATAAAATGTAAAATCATCCAAAAACCAGTAGACATTATAAAAGTTGTTTTATTTACCTTACAAACCATTGTATACCTATTGTTATTATAAATGAATATTCTGAAATTCTAAAAAAGATTTGCAAGTCTGTTCAATTAACAAGGAATAAAGGTTTCTAAATTCCAAACCCCATTTTTATTTGTTTCTTGTTTGTTTGTTCACGTTTAGTTCAAAATATGTTTTTAAATTTTCAAAAGCTGATGCAAGTTTAACTACAATGTGTAAAATAAATCTAAAAAAGCTACTATCTGTGTAGGTCCATTTTTTACATTTAACTACATATTCCACGATTTTTTACCGTGCCCCAAGAGTGCCGACAAAAGATGATAAATAAAACAAAAAAATGTGTTACATCACGTAGATTTCGCGCTTTATGTATTTATATAGAGATACTAATACTATTTGAATATTTTATAATCACTTAAGAAATATAGAGATTGATGAAAGATTGGACAAAAACAGACTTCTCGTAGGACCTACTTATTTTACCCAGCTTAAGTGCGAGTACGTAATGATTTACGAATCAGTGATCGAATGTACGAAACCAGACTAGACTTACTGAACGCATGAACTAAAGCCGTATCGAGCGACTAAATGATTCAAGAACAAAAGAATGAAAGACTAAACTAAGTGATCACAGCGATCGTTACGATTTTCGTATTGAAAGAATGAGTGAACTATATTTAAGCGTACGAATGGCTGAAGCCAACGCTGCCATATTTCACCTCTACGCCTCAGATTGAGCCGAAAACCAAAAGAAAGACAATCAGACCGCAAAAAAAATCACTCAAATATCACCAATATTATTTATTTTTATTTTAAAAAAAGACAACTCCCGCATTAGGAATAGATCCTGTGTCGCGGAGGACTTTACAAACATACAAATGGACACAAAGAACACCCAGACTTAGAACAATAATTTGTGGATCACAGAAAAGTGTCGTCCCATGTGTCGACAGCCATCTCGGAACACCGAAGAATCATTGTTGTCTGACCATCGAACACCAGATCAGGTGTCGAATGATCCAGAACCTTCTAAATGTTAGTGATCCAGAGTCTAGGTTAGAGTTTAGGTTAGAGTTTAGTTTAACTCCGATTAGAGTCAGAACATTACTCATATGCATTGCTATAGGGATACTAATATGAAGGATTCGGGGTAACAAAGCAGTTCGAAGAACCAGGTAACTGATTAAATATAAGATGCTAGGGTACATGACCAGTTACTACTATTACTACTATTTTAAAATAAAGGGAGACTCAAAGCAATTCCTGTTTAAAACAACTGTTCGAACTTGGCAGTACTTTGACATTCACTCAATAAATATATTTTTTCTTAAACTTTAGAACTGTGTTTACCACCTTTAGGAGTTAAAAAATGTTAATACACATAGATAAAGCTGTGGTGAACGGCCAATTATTTATATATTGCAATGCTAATTAAAATACACCACAAGTGCTTAATTCAAACCCTTATCACAAATTTATATTTGGCCGTGGAGGTTTCCTCTATGTAACTTGAAGGATATTTCTTGAAGCTGACGAGGCTATTCTAACTATAATAACTATAACTTTTAAGCTAGCTAGACGACATTATAAGTATAAACTGGTATGAGAACTGCCAAACAGTAATCATAACAATGAGACGACAATGTCTGGTAATATTCACAATTACAATTGTCATGGTTCTGTTTGTCCGCGCCAGTCTCACTATCGCGACACTTTGGTCAGGAAGTCGTGGAGATATTCCGTTTAAATCAAAATCAAATCCTTATTTTTGATAACGTACTAAATATAATTTGAGATTTTACAGTATCAGTACATGTACTTTCCATCGATTTGAAAGAAGGATGGTCTCACAAGACAAGTAGAGTACATTTTTCGCTTGGATCTTATCGATACCGCAGAGTATTTTTAGAATGGTAAAACTAAGTTTTTCAATCAGACTAAAAAAACAGAATAAATCTTTGTACATCAATAGAACGAAGCATTTACCTACAAGCGTGTACGAAGCCCTCGGTGTACGAGTCAGAATCGCACTGGTCCGGCTTGTTAATCTAAGATTATAAACTGTCCTTCCGCAACTGGGATTAACTAGATCTATTTATAAACTTTTGTATCACTTAATACTTGGCAAAATAATAGTGGAAGTACTAGATGAATCATTTAATTGTTCTAATAATAAAACCAGCCTTGTTATTTGTTAGCCTTCCAAATACTTAATGAATTGAGACCATATGGCCGAGTTGAGGCAAATTATTATTAGCTAATTCCTTCTTGGTTAATTGCTAATTTATAAAAGGAGTGAATCATTTTGATGTTACTCTCTTGTTTGAGGTTATTGATATTCTTAGCACACAGTTTCTCATCGAGAGTTAAAAAAGAAGTTCCTTAGACGGATTTCTGTGTCAAACGCTATTTAAACATTTGATAAACACAACAAACAATGCATTTCCCTAAAACTTATTCCACATATTTTTTCAAAAGAAATATAGGACTTTTCACACACACACTAATTAAGAACATTACGAGTATATGTATAGTACTTATCATTACTTGTTTTGTTACATTAATTCTAATATTATAATAAGGATAAATTGTAAATTGTTGTTGAGATATAATTTGCTATTTGCCCGAAATAAGAATTTCGGGACCGTAAACTGGTATATACTCTGGTTAAGCATGTTCTCGCAATATGATTATTGCCAAAAAATTATAACATATTGTTGTTATAATTTGACCGTCGAAAAAAACTATTAAAATGGCTGCACACAAGGACGGATGCCAGGTCAAATATGTGCTCTCCCGGAGCGCCAGGCCCGGCAACGGGCCAGGTACCGCAGACGACTCAGGCGCCGGAGGTTGCAGAATGACCTCCGTCCTCCATAAGGTAGGTGAGGCCATCTGTCACCCTAGCAGAAGCAGGCCTTGGTGGTGGTGAGACGCGCTTCGAAGCGCACGCCCCCCTTTCGGGAGCACAAAGGGGACATAGGGGTTCCCACACAGTAGGGGGTCATTTACTAATTTTTGACAACAAGTATTCTCAATAATTCAATTGATAGTCTTCATACCTGTAAAAGTGTTAACCAACAATGCATGCATATCTTTTCTTACATTCAACGTTCTGTATTTTAAGTTCTGGTTTTCTTCTATCTCTTCATTTTGGTAACTGCTGGTATAATCAAATCGTGTCGAATGGAAGTGAAGCCTAACACAATCTACAAAAGATCAATCATACGGCGTACATGGTGGATACTCCGCACTTACGAATAGGGCTAGTACCTAAGTCCGATTCGAGGGCGGCAACCTCGGCCACAGTGTGAACAGACGTGTTGCTGACCAGTAGGAGTCAGTGGGCGCGGCTGCGCAGCATGTTGGTGATGCAATGTGCGCTTGCGAGATAAATGGTCAAACCAGTCCTTAGCATGCGTAGACACACCTTCCGCGATAGGTTTCCTCCAAAGAGCGTAGTCTGCAAACTCCCTTTCCCAGCTGTTCGGGTCTTCCGCAATGGAAACCACGTCTCGTTTAGCACTATCTTTAAAACGGAGGACAGGACGACTGAAGGGACGTTTAACATTTGGTTTCCTAAGAGAATTTGTCTGGGCAGACGAGAGGGCTTCATCCGATTTAAATGCCCAAGCCATCGTAGTCACCGGTGCCTTAACATGCCAGACATGCTAAGCAATCCTGCAGTTTCAAGCACTGTCTCATTTGCGACCTTATCCTCCCACGAAATGCCTAAAATGTATTGAAGACAACGCATATGGAAGCTGTTTAATCTCCGCTCCTGTTTGGCATACGATGTCCATGTTTGGTACATGATCATCTTGGTTTTGATGGTGATGTGTATATTGCACCATACCCTGTCACCGAGCTTCCCAAACATCGTAGAGGCCTTGCCGATGAGTATGTTTACATAATCAAGTTATAAATTGGTTGACACTGTGGAACCAAGGTAGCAGAAATTGTCAACAACCTCCAATGGTTTGCCGTCTAATAATATTGATGGTTTTAGATCACCACCATGAGCCATAATAACGTCTTCCTGGCATTTATGGACATCGAAAAGAGTTTGCAAGCGCCATTAAATTGGTTGACCATTCTCTGCAGATCCATCAGCAAACAATAAGTTGTCCACAAACAGGTCCAGGCGGTGTTTTCTGGACCTCAAGAGCGAGATATTGAACAACTTACCATCCACCCTGGTGTGAAGGTGAATGTCTTAAATACAGTCGCCAAAAGCAACCCTTAGCATCGTATAAAAAAGATATGCATCCATTAAAGATATAAACAAGTTTTATTAATAGCAATTAGACATAGATACGGTAACAAATTTAGCAGTAGAGTACAGGGACACAACGTTTATAGAGGGATGTAGCTACTTATAATGATTGTTTAAAATGGTTCTGTCAAATTGTCAGCATAATAACGTTGTTTAAATCAAGTGCCTTCTTCCGAGGAGGGGGAATGCCAGCGGAAATATTTTGCACAGCAAGAGGGATATGTTCTTTGTTAATCGAATTATTTAACTTATGAATTAATCAAATAGAAAAATAAACAAAGACGTATTAATTCATCCTTAGTTATGCCTCGCAAGGATTTTATTTCAAACATCTAGCGGACAAGGTTTATCCGTCCAGTTAAAGTCCAAAATATTGTAGTCATCTAGATGCATAGCAGTCATAAAGATGGAAGCTATAATTATTAATATTAAGTACTATGTTAGCAAAGCATTAAGTAGAAGAGCCTTTGAGAAAAAACTACTCAATAAAAACTCATGGCCATTATTATTCCATTGCTTTAAATTACTGTTATGCTTGCTAAATTGTATAATGCTTGTGTTTACGTTTTAGAGAATTATCAATAAGCAAGGTGCTACAAAAAAGCATCACGCGCCTGAGTGTCCAACTGTACTATAAATATATGTATTCACAGTACAGAAGGTACTCAGAATAAAACTTCGTATTAAAAGTGACCTTCGTTTCAAAGTAATTGTAGTCTATTATGAACAGTTCTTATTGTGGAAGATCGAAGCAAACATGTAGAAGTATTATCAAATATGTACGCGATTCACGCGCAAGGGAAGCCAACAAGAGAGACCGATGCCACATAAAACATAACAAGCGAAAATTCATTTAGGAAGTTTACGCATAAAAACAAATTTTAATGTTTATCTCCTTACATCGTCGTTTATTACACCAAGACTCATTTAATTTGTTTGGTCTAAACGCAAGAAATGAATATACCGACATGTAGGTAAAGTGATGACTGCGTGAGGTGTAAATAAATAGTATATGTGGCAACTCAGTGTGTGGTTAAAGAAAAGTTATTGCCACATTATATTTTTAGCTAATGCTTCTGTAAAAAATTAAACAAACGAGCATTATTAAGAGTTAAAAAAAGTTTGTAGGAAGTATTTTATATCACGTACTTATTTATTATTTAGAGGAAATAATCCCAATAACTAGGAACTTAATGTACGCAGCGAAATATTTGCACTCATGAACTTGCACGTTAGCTGCGACTGATAGTTTTGCTTGGTGCCCTTCTGCTCTCCCCCGTAGCCCCTGCTCCGCTCTCATTTTATTTACAATATATATTCCTTCTATGACTGTCCCGATGAAAGAGTGGCCGAGAAGCTTCCCTCATTCAGTAGTACTACGTCATAGGGTCAAGTAAATACATATGTTTGCATTCACACGAAACTTTCTACACACAAGACTTATATCTCACCTCTGATGATTACTTGCAGCATGGTCCACTAACATTTTACCTTTTTACCTTGCGGTCTGCACTCTATGACCTGTTTGTTAATGAGGAAAAACCCTATATTTAATTAAAACAGCTATTATTAAATTATACCTCACTTACGTAGGTATGTACCTACCTACTACTTAATGTAATTTAGTAAAAATTTCCTACTTCATTAATGAACTAAGCTTACATAAATTAAAGAAGGAAATAATAGAACCTCCTATTGTCGGGAGCGTGTTAAAGTATTCCATTTAGAATAGGCTGTAAGTGTGTCACCAAAAGCATTTTGATTGCCAAAAAATGTAGTTTTAAAATGACAGCTCACATTTGCGCGCGAAACTAGACTTGTAGCTTAAATGACGTCACTTTTTCATTGTGAATTTACACTTTTCAGAAATTTTTAAACTACGTAATAGGCATACACCATATACAATTTAACAATACGGATCACGTAGACGCCGATCGGGATAGGGTTATTAGCCCTTTTGCTACTCGTATTCACAGCTACACATACTAAAGTTGAACACATACATTTTCCTCAACCAAATTAAAAGTTTGTTTTCAAAACATGTTCCTTATTTCTGTGAATTACAGATATTATTGTTCAATTATAGTTAAGTATTAATAAGGTACTCATTAGCGTTAAGGAAACTGTATGGTAATCAATTGTATTGCTTGCTAATCTTTTATGAAATCTTCGGCTACACTGCAAGAAAACAAAACGCTCGTTTGACCTAATAAGTACAACGACCATATCGGTTTTGGGTTATGAAACATAATAATATTCAACAGCTTTCACATCACATCAACATTTTTTAATAGTCCACTGCTGGACATAGGCCTCTCCTTAGAAAGGAGGTTTTGGCCTACTATACCACGCTGGCCAGACGGGTTGGTATAGGGTTTGTGTCAAGTACTACTTGACACAGGCGCAGAGTGGCACACCGTGTGGTTTTAGTCGGTCCGAGTCCGACACACCACCCCGCCGCAAACCCCGGTGGGGTGACGGTCCGAAGGGATTTCCACACGTTAAAAAAAAAAAAAAAAGGGTTTGTGTCAAGTTTACCTTGTTTTTGCTGTGTTGTTGTCCTGCGTTGTTTTTCGCCCTTAGTCGGCTCTTACTACACCCACGGGATGAATTGGGGTAGTGACATTACGTATTCTTATTCCGTCACTACACGGACAACAACAAACAAACACATTTACACAACGCCATCTAGTCCCAAACTAATCAGAGCTTGTACTATGGCTACTAGACAACTAATATATGCTTTTTTTTAAATACAAACTTAATACACACAACATCATTAACACAATCTACATCCGCTGACTGACTAACTGACTTGACAGGTATTTTGGTCTAGTAATCTCGACATCGCGTTCGTCGTTGCGATTGGCCCGCACTAAAATCTTTACCAATCGCAACGCTAAACGCGCTCGCCGGCGAGAGCGAGTAGATGTGAAATAAACTCAAACTTGGGCCTCAGAACAAACTACTGTGACGAGTACTTGTTCTACGTATATGCATCTCTGTAATATGTAGGTATTTAGTAATATATAAATACGTGTTTATCAGCAGTCTGATTACCATAGTACCTACAGAAATACCCATCCTAGTTTAGGATCAGATGGCTGTGTCTCAAGTTATTTATATTATTAAATTTCTATATATAAAAACTAAGTCTTTATAATATTGAGAGGCATTCGGAACTTAACATACGTATAGTAAGAATAAAAGTTCTAAAAATAACTGCGAAACTTTAAGCCCACTCAGCATACACCTTTCAAATCGCTCGCAATATGTCCGAGTCCTTACATGCACCACAATTCGATTACACAAGGTTTATAACGTTGTTTCCTCAATGCGTAACTTAATTAAGAAAATATTACGACTCATTAATGAACGACCACCTCCTTAGAATATATAAGTGTAGATGCGACATAAGCTGTGAGCGTTTACGATTAAAATACTTATCTACGTTTACGGTTAAAAATGTACTGGTTCTGGACTTGTCCTGAGGTTAATGCCAGACTGTGAAGTAAAGAGACTATACTGGTAGATATTTACTATATTCATGTTCGTATCTATTGAAATATGGGAGTAATCCTTTGGTTCTCTTTTTAGACAAAGATGCTTATACTGATTTAATCAAGAAGTTGCTGCACATGGATATCTTCAACACAAGGAACATAAGTGCGCTGCCGGCTTTTGAAGTCGAAGTACTTTTTTCTGGGGTCTCAGTAATATATTACTGACTAGTTGGTACCCGCGACTTCGTTCGTGTGGAATTTGAAAAGCTCTGCCTTAGTGGTGTAGTACGGTACGCGACTGCAGTCCATGAGGCCTCGGGTTTGATTCCCGGACCGGGCAAAATTTTATAGGGCTTTTCTGAGAGGAGACTCCTTATATAGACAGTTACCTGGTAGTAAAATATTATGATCTCGGTTCAGCCGTTTTGAAGATTACCGGGAATAAGCACACAGACAGACATACAGATAGACAAATAATATTTAAACTGGATTTTAGGCATAGTGTGTACATGAAAAAACTTATAACCACTTCAATTTTATTTATTTGTATAGATCACGCTCTCACTTAATTTAGGGTATAACCAGAGTGACAAATAATTTTAAAAGATTTTGTGGCCATGTTTAATACTCAATTTACACTGCATAAAATAAGTTTTTTGAAATGAGTTGCATACAACCACATAGACATTGTGTAATTTTAGAACCGCCAATCACCGTTTAATATCCCAAAGTGGCCGAGTGACGATATTCTTGTGAAAATATTTAATAATAACTTACCAAAAATAAGTAAACGCAGCTGCCCTTGATGTCCGAAACCCCAAAAATGAAGAACAAACAAATTGATTACGTTTGGCGCGTC